GGCAGGGCCACATGACTGGCCTTGGGTAGGAGGTCCCTTCTGCCACACTGGGCCTTTGCTGATTCTGTCACCCATTCCAGCTTTATGCTGGGTGTGTTGGAAGAACCGGGAGGGGCCATTGGGCTGGGGTTGTAGCTGGGGTGGCAGGGGACAGGCTGGTGATATGTCCATTACAGACAGGGTGGAGGTTGGGGGGGTGCTTGGTGAAGGTCAGGGTGTCCTTTGGGCAGATGGCACAAGGCATCCGAGGATGACATGAGACCAACAAGGAGATCGGCATGGCCTGGAGGAATCTGGAGTTGTTCTGATATGGACACAGGTGTACACACACATAACACACATACCTATGCAACCTCCCTTAGGCCATGAAGACACGTAAGGAGCGCAGGTTCCTGAGTGTGCCAAGGCCTGGCCACTGCCTATGCCTAGGACCTGGAGACAGATAGACAAGCCTATGGACTATGACAAATGACACTGGGATGAGAGAGGCCTGTCCTGGCCACACCCACCCCAAGGTCCTTTTTAGCTAGGAGTCAGGGCCCCTGTGAAGGTGGCCTCCTCTCTTCTTCTCACCTGCTTCCTCCTTCCCTCCTTGGCCCATTCACCTCCTATCCTCATCCTCAGCTTGTTCTCCAGCCTACTGAGAAAGGGAAGCCTATGGCTTACTGGTGTGGGATACCCAGGTGCTCTGTTCTCTCTCTGTTGCTACTCTGCAGGACCTCACTGGCTCAAGACTGAGGCAGCCCTTCTCTTCCTTGCTCCCCAGGGACACCTCCAGCTGGCTGTCCTCCATCTCTACCTCACTCCCTTCCCTCTGCAAACCAAGCGCACAGTGAGTACCCACCTACTCCCCTGTCCCCTATTCTCGGCTTTCCTCTACATCAATATCCTTGAAAGAGACCGCCATGTGAGATACTCTGCTCACCATCTTTTTCTTCTCTTGAACCCATGCCAACCTGGCTTTACCCTACCACTCTTCCCAAACAGCTTGTCTTAGTTCAGGCTGCCATAAAAGATACCACAGACAGATGGCTTCAGCAATGGAAATGCATGCTCTCACGGTTTTGGAGACTTGAAGTCCAATGTCAAGATTCTGGCTGATTTGGTGTCTGGAGCAGGCTCTCTTCCTAGAGTGTACTCAGCCACCTTCTCACGGAGTTGCTCGCTTGCTCTTTGGTGTCTCATCTTAAGGACACCAACCCTAACTGGATGACAGTCCCACCGCTATGACCTTATTTAACTGTGGTTACTTCCATAGTGGCCCTATATTAAAATGCGGTCACATTAGGAGTTCACTATATAATCTGAGGCAGGGCAAAGCTCTTGTCAAAATCTCTTCTCACCTCCACTTTCACAAACCCAACTGCTAATAGGTTGGCCCTACTAGACCTGGGCACAAAATAGAGCTATCCCTCTCTCCTCCCTGGAACTTGGCCTTCATTTGGCTTCTGAGTCTCTGCTCTCCTCTCTCCTGCTCCCTCAAGAGTGGCTCTGCTGCTCACTCCTTGCTGGCCCCTCTTCACTGTCCTAGAGGTGATCCCTGACCTCTTCCTCTCTGTCTGTACTTGTCCCAAGGAAACCCCTTGCTTTCTTTCTACTCCCTTTTCACTGATGTCTTCACATTTGCACCTCCACGTTTGTTCCAGTCCTGCTGTATAGCTGTTCCTCATTCGGAGGCGTCATGGGCATCTGACACCCAAACTTCATAAAAACAAACTCCTGGGTCCTCCCACCTCCCTGATTCAGTGGCTAAGAGTTCCACCCTTCCAGAAGTTCAGGACAAAACCCTCATTTCCATCTTCAGCTTCCCTCTTCCCCTAACACCCATTTCCATCTGTGAGCAAATCCTTTTGTCTCTGTCTTCACAACATTCACAACCCAACCATTCTTACCACTTCGTGGGCTCCACTTGGCCCAGCCTCCATGACTGCCCACCTGGGTGATGGATGATGGTCTCCCAGCAGGCTATGGTTTGCAGAATCACTCTCTTCCACTTTTCCCCTAAGCAATCTCTATGCTACTCCCTGCAGTCTGAGAATATGTTTAGCTCACGTGGATGGCAAAGAGGCCTTGCAGATGTGCAAGATGAAGTAGTCTGAGACAGGGAGGTAATCTTGGAACATTCCAGTAGGCAAAGGAAATCATGAGAGTCCTTATAAAAGAGAGGCAAGCAGCTCGGAAGGCAGGAGAAAGGTGATGTGACTCGGGACCCTGAACCAAAGAATGAGAAAGCCTCCAGAAGCTGAAAAAAGGCCAGATCATCTCCTGGAGCCTCCAGAAGGAACACTGCCCTACAAAACCTTGGTTCTAGACTTCTGAATTTGTGTTGCTTTTAGTAAGTTTGTGGTTATTTCTTACAGCAGCCATAGGAACCTAACATACCTTTAGCGTGGCCCCTGAATGCCCCTGTTAAGCCTCTGACCTCCTGTGCTTGCCCCTCCATCCTTTACCTCCCTGACTGTCCCTCCCACCTCTGAGCTTTTGCTTCTACTATTCCTTCTTCCTGGGATGCTTTCCCCCCACAAATCCACCTGGCTGGCTCTGGCCAAACATCGCCTATGGGAGAGCCCAGCCTGTCCTTATATTCCCAGCTTTGTTTTGTCTTTCTCCAGGTGTGTTACCACCTGCCATTGTGTACATTTGTCTGTTTCTTCCTCAAGAAGTGAAGCCCCACGTGTGCATGGTGTCTGCTCCAAGTGCTGCTGTATCCAGTGTGTAGCACAAGTGTCTGGCATGTTGTGAACACACAACAGATGCCTGTTGGATGGATGAATGAATGAGTGAGCAAGTGAATTTTACAAGTGAGGAAACCAAACTAGGGAAGGGGAATGACCTGTCGAGGTCACAATCAGCAGTAGTCCTACAACTCAAGGATCCCCCCAAACCCCTTTTGACAGGATGTGGGCACCTGTCAAAAGCTTATTCTCAAGCCCAAATCTCAATCCCATTTTTCCCAGGTGGTTTCTTCTTATTCTTGAGATTTCTGTTTCTTCACCTGTGAATGAATGAATGAGTGATGAGTGAATGCCCATATCTGGGAAGGAGCTGACAGGTCAGAGGACTAGAAGAAAGCCAGAACAGTGAGCAAGGAGGGGAGGGAGAAGGAGGCCAGGTAACCAGGGCCTCTGCAGTTTGGATCCTGTTCCACGCAAAAGTTGGGAAGCCATGGAGGCAGGTTACAGAGGGAAGAGACCCAATACCATTCTCTGCATGAGGCTGAACAGGCAGGAACAGGGAGGGCCTGCCATGGGCCAGAGAGAGGAAGAGGGGCTGGGCTATGGTGTTGGCATAGAGATAGAGAAGTGGAGAGGTTTGAGATGTGGACTGGGGAGGAAAGACAGGACTTACTGTAAAGCAGAACTTGAGTGGGTGGGATTAAGGCAGAGGGTCAAGGGGGTTGGAAGATTTCTCACATAGTGCCTATGGAGACCACAGCACTTCTCAGCATTTCTTAGGTGTCTTTCAGAATAGAAACCCATTGTGTGGGCTCTAAGCAGACCAGGGAGCTACATGCTCACATGATGGATGGAAAATGTTAGGTTCCCATGCTCCAGTGGTGACCCTGGGCCCTGATTCTCATCTCCTCATTCTCTTTTCCTGAGTTGGCACCACTCTCAGGCAGGCTGTCACACACAGGGCCAAATGTCCTCCAAGCGGGCATCCTGTTAGGACATCAAACCTATCAGTAAGAGTTTTTTCCCTAATATTTCCAGAACCAAAGTCACAGGGAGCTTAGGCTACATGCCCAAACCAAAAGCAGTAGCTGAAACTGGGGGGCTGTCAAGGTCAGTTGCTGAAATTGAGGGGGCTGTCATGGTCAGAGCGTGATTATGTCCATCCTTGAGCACAGGGGAGAGAGGAAGGGGAGGGTGGTTCCTCAAGGGAGTGAAAGTAACTGGTAGGGTGTTAGACCAGGAGTCTTAGAGGTCCTGGCTTTCTGCCTGTCTGGTAAGATTTGGGTGGTCTTACTCCACACTCCTGTACCATGTGGCAGGATTGGCCCTGAGCAGGGGCAAGTTGCCACCCTGCTGAGCCAATGTCTAACATTATAATTCCCTGATTTATGACCACTCACAGCCCCTAGTACTGCCTGGCAGGGTCAGAGCTGAGGTTGAGGTCGACCTGCTCTGTCCATACTGGGTCCTACCATCTGTTCCCAGACCTTAGCTGCCCCCTCACCTGCCTGCCTCAGTGAGCCAGGGAGGTTGTGCTCAGCTTGAATGGGGCCTTCTACGCTTTAGGGTAACTAAGATCAGAACTCAGGTCCTCCACATTACCTTGGGTCCTAGCTGGAGTCGGGAGTTGGGGTGGGGAGGAGGGTCACCCTACAACTGCTCAGCTAAGCTGCTGTGGGTGAAAGTAGAAGTCTGGTATTTTTCTCTGGTTCCTTGTTTTGCTGTCCACTCTGTCAGTCCTTGGCTCCGACCTCTATGCCTTCACCTTATGGTGACAGGAGGGCTGCCGTTCCAGCCTCACTTCTGAGGTTTACAACCAACAAGAAAAAGTGAGAGCCTTTTCTTGCAGCTCCAACTCTGACTGGACTGTGTTAAGTCACATGCCATTCCTCAACCTCTGTGGCCAGAGAGTGCAAATGTTGATTGGCCAGGCCTGGGTCACATGCTCTAATCTCAAGTCCCATCTAGACAATGTGGGGAGATTTGGGAAAGGTGAATTCCCATGTATAATCAGAGTTGTGGCTACAAAGAAGAGGTTTGGATGCTGAGGACACAGGAAACGTATTAACCACGAGGATGGCCTGCAGAACACAAGTGAAGAGAGAGAGGCTTGGATGGAGGAAAGCACTTGCTTGCCCTGTTCAGACAGGGAGCAATGAATGGAGTCAGGTCCAAGGTTTGTCTCTGCAGCTGTTCTCACTGGGACCACTCCATGTAGGGTCCTCCTTGTGTCTCCTTGTCCCTCCAGGGCAGGCTGTAGGGAAAGATAGCTCCCCACCACAGGATCTAAGTCATTGCCTTTCTCAGGTTTTGCCAGCTTCTATGAAAGACAAGAGTCAGGGGTCCATTTAAAAATCATTTTTTTATTAACATCATCTTCCCATTTAGCCAAGTATTTGTCATGTATAAGGAATGCCGGTAAATATTCCATTTGAAGCTTCTTTGTACATATTTCCATCGATAAATAAACTCTGAATTCACATAAAAAAGTTAAACTTAAATAACTCATATTTCCTTCTCTTGTAACAGGCGTCTATTGGTAAAATATAAATATTCTTGGACTCGGGCTTTGTTCTAAGTGACGAGAACAGTAATTCATCACATGGACAATTAGTGACAATAGAACCAAGAAGTTGTCAGCTGGTGTCCTGGCATGGACTAGTACTGAGGTGGGAAACAAGAAAATTCACATTTGGTTTTTGGGCCAAGGTGGGACAGGTGTGGTGGCAGGGACAGAGGACAGGACAGTTGCTTTCTTTATAGCTCTGATAAAAATAATCTGCTCTGCCACTGAATTTTAACTTCGAATGTATCCTTCTACATTTGCTGATTAATTCCATAATCATTTTACCTGAAACTCAGATGTCAACTAACCAAATATGGCACATAATCCATTTTGAACAACGTCAGTAGATTTAGAAACTATCATTGGGCTGGCAAAACCAACAAGAGAAATAAATGCATGGGGAGAGAGCAATGACTCAAGGTTGGCTTGGTTAGTTCACTGTGGTCAGTTGAACATCCATCCAGGGCCTCAGTGCGGCAGACTCATCCCGTGGGCATCAGACTGGTCCCTGGCGACCCATGAAGGGCATCCTTGGCCTGCGAGGCAGGTGAAGTGGACAGCCCACTCTAGAGAACACGAGGGATGATGGTGAAGGGGACAGCAGGGCTGCTGGCCTCCAGCTCCAAAGCTGTCAGAAAGCACTCGGTGGCTGCAGCGTCGTTGCCCTGAGCCTGGAGGACCTCGCCCAGCCCGTTCCAGACCTCGTGGGCTGTCGAGTTCACCTGTACCGCATCCCGGAGAATTTTCTCTGCCAGACTGTATCGACCTAGCTGGTGGAGGATCAGGGCCTGTAGGAGTTGGAGACAGACAGTCAGACAGATGTAAGGAGCTGTGGGTACCTGTTTGTCCTTGAGTTTTCAGGGAGGTCCTTGGAGATGGGACTGTATCTCCTACTTAGCTGAGCACATAGTAAGTTCTCAAGTAATTCCCCAGGCTCAGGGGCAGTACTTGAAATAGTTACTTGAACCACATGAAATTGCTGAGATTCAGTCATTCTTAAACTATAAAACTATACAAAATTTCACACGGTTCATCTGAAACTTAACAACCAACTGGGAGGCCACAGTCTTGCTTGACCCAGTGTGGTTGAAGTGACCTGTCCCAGCTGACACCTGCCTGCATGGAAGAGTATCTGTTGTTAGTTGTAGTACTACCATAATGGTTATGACAGATTTTTTTTAAAGTTGCTCACAGCCTCCTGCCCTAACCAAGCCCTGATCTCAATGCCCCCTGTGCACAGTTGTCAATTTGCATTTTGAATAAGGGTGTATGTATTGGTCTCCGAATATTTGATCATCGCCATGCTTCCAAGTTGCACAACTCCATTAAATGTCATGTTTGTAACATTCATCCAACAGCTGTGTTCTTACAGACTCAATCTCTCTATTGGCAGGAGAGATTCTGAAATCATATCCAATCTCTGCTCTTAAATCACACCCTGATGAACACCTTTCCAGAAAAACTTCTTTGTTCTAAATCCTGCAAGTCTTTTCAATAGCTCTGGAAACCTTTGGGAAATGAAATTTTACTGGGAAAACTCACATAGTCTGTGTATGAATGAACTTAGAGGAACTGCGCCGGGTAGGGGCTAAGGGCTGGGGAGCTGTGTCCCCTAGAGACTACAGAAGCCATCTGGAGAGTCCCCCCAAAGTGGCTCTCTTTGGATATGACTCTTTCTAGGGTTCTCAAACATGTTGCAAATTTACCAGCAAAGGTTAGTACTGCTTGTCCATCCATCTAGACAACCATTCCGATCAGCTATTTAGTGGCTGTCGCCTGTGCCTTCTGTAAGCTATTTCTCCTGCTTTTGTTTGGGAGTTTTTTTTATAAGACTGGTGTTCACCTACCATCATAATTTTCTAGTCTGTTCTTTGACTCTTGAATTTTCTTTGAGCCAAAGTTTTTAGTTTTTTAATAAACTCAATGATGGTTGATAATTTCGGGGGGTCACTTAGAAATTTATCCTTCCACAGAACTGACATCTCTCATTCTCTGTGACTTGCCTGATTTTAAGTAGCTGACTACATTGTCCTGGTGATAGAGATCAATTTCTGCTACTGTGGTAGACGCAAACTGGCTAATCCTGCCTGCCTTTGTCAAATGGTGAACTGTGACATGAAATGCTTTCTATTATTTTCCAATGAGCTGCAACAGCTAACTTTTGGATCAGAACCATACTGTTTTAATTTCTGCTACTCTGAGTCATGTTTTAACAGGTAGGAATAGTCTTTTTCCTCCTGTCCTTTGCTTCTATATATTTCCTGACAATCTCGCTCTGTACTACTCCAGATGAATGTTAAACTCATCTGTTCATTCCTTTTGGGAGTCGAATCATACTTGCATTGAATCTCTAAGCGTGTGCAGAGAAGCTGTCTTAACAGTGGTTAATCTTCCCACTGAAGAAGAAGCCAAGGCCTGATGGCTGTGCAAGTCTCATCCTAAACCTCCCACAAAGTCCTGTTCTTCCTTTAGGCGGTTCATGGGCCCCATACAGCCTGCTCTCAATCCCGAACTTCACCAATGAGTGAGGTCAGTAGGTCAGCTCTCTGGAGCAGAACCATCTAGCACAGTGCCATGAACAATGTGCCTGCCAATAGTGGGTTGCAGCACCATGGGTGCAGGGTGTGGGTGGGGCTCAGCAGAAGTGTCCCCCCTCCCCTGGAGACAAGCTCTGGAGGAAGCAGGGGACACCTGAACAGACAGTGTCCAGTCCCTGAGGGTAGCTTGGGCTGACCACCTCCTCTTCCCAGAGGTGCCTGAAAGGCAGCATGACTTCCTTAGTCACTTGCACCCAAGGTTACCTGGGAAGAGTTCACGATCAGTGGGAAGATAGCCAGGGGATCCACGGTACTAGGGCAGTGTGTGAGCCCTGTGCAGGCTCCTCCACTGGGAGGTGCAGAAGGAGGAGGAGGAGGAAGAACAACCAGGCCACCACAGAAAGCCAGTCCTAGTCTGCATAGGGTTTCTTCCAAGCCCTCTCCATCCCTCTCATAGGGTGAGGGAACTGGGTGCTCAGCTCCAGGTGGGGCTTCCTGACAGGATGAGTACTGTCTTACTACAGTACTGATAGCGAATGCTCCCCAGTGTCTGGGACACACTCAGCACTGTCCTAAGTGCATTGGTTTCCCTGGGGACCCCAAAACCATTTCACACGGTCATGGTCAGGACCCATGTGCACCAGAGTGCAAGGCCTGCTCTCACTGCTCAGAAAGAGAAAGAGCCCCAGCTGTGGGACAACTGTTATCACACCAGGTGAACTACTCCTCCCAGAGGCAAATCTCCTGTTCCCAGCATGCAGCTGGCCACTGCAGAACCCATCTTTCCCAGCTGCTAGGGACTGTGTGGAGTCCTCTGTGTGGAGTCCAGGGTGGCAAAGAATCCTGCCCGTCACCTATGATAGAGCTCCTCTTGAGGAATGTGACAACTTGACCTCATCACTTCCCAACCTTAAGGGCCAGCAGACCAACCAGGGACACTTGCCTAAGTGGTGGTCAGCAGAATGCCAGGTCTAATGAGCTCCTGGTTGTTTCCTTCCAGGATAGGCTGTCAATGTAGCTCCCCCTAGAACATTCTGATGCTGCCAACAGGAGCTGGGGGCAGGCAGGGGTCTGAGTGGTGGCAGTAAGCAGCAGTGTGGAGGGGTTATAATAGGGGCCTTTTTTCTTCTTCTAGGCAAGACTCAGTATAGCACAATATAACACACCCAGCAAGGGGATTCTAGTGGCTCTCCTGGCAGGGAGAGCTTTGCATGCCTCTGGTAAACAAGTGATGAAGGACAGCCACCATGGAAGGCAGGAAGGCATCCTTGCATACTTGGCTGCAGGTGGAGAACACAGTTCAGACCCACCAGGCTCTGCTGCTATAAATCAGCTCTGTGCTCTTTCCTTCATGGAGTGGGTTTGCCCTGTCAGGCACTGCGCTGTGCTTGGCTAATCTATTACCAATGCTTTAGAGACAAGGAGACCACAATCAGAAAAGTCAAGGTCCCAGGACCAGTGAACATTGAGTTGCAGGCTGCCTGGGTATGTCTGACGAAAGCCACCTGTTCTGCCCACAGGGATGGAGCTGCCCCTGTGGCTTTAAGAGGTGAGCCTGTGGCTGTGGCAGAGAGCTCTTTGGGGCTCTTGCATCACGCCCCAGTGCACTCAGGCAATAACCCACTTACACACATCCAAGCAACAGCAAATGGGCGTCTGCCACGCTGTGTCTTCCCTTTCATTTCCCTGACCACTAATTGCTTATTTTATTGCTCCTTTCCATGTTGTGATTGGGAAATTGCTCCTCTCCAAGGCACAGCTTTTCTCTGGCTCAGGCCTGCTGTTTGAGAGCTTCCTGTGTGTTTGCTCATGGATGGTGCAGGCTCCTTGCTTCCTTTTGGTGGCCCACAGGCTGGCCTGCTGGAGCCCCACCAGCACCTGGGCTGGAAATTTTGTTTAGAAAGTGTCAGGCCACTGAATCTGGGTGCAACCGACTGTGGGGGCTTCAGGGTATTGGGCAGGGGGCATTCTACCTGACCCTAAAAGTCCTGCAGAGCACAGCCCCAGAAGGCTTGTCTGACCATCACGCTCAGTGTGGGACAGTTGAGCACCTCTGGGGTTCCCTAGTGTTTAGGGCTCTTTTCCTTCATAGGCATGAACTTGTTCTCTGAAGGCTGCCATTCTCAGGTGACCTTGAGGCATCCTGAGGAATCTGCTTAGTGGAATTAATTCCTCAACCTGGAGCTGCTCAAAGAGAGCTCAGACTTGTAGGGGCTGCCAGTGCAAGCTTGGCATAGGAATGAAAAATAGGCCTCTCCTCAGGTTCCCAGAGAGCTAAGGGTGGCTTGGAAATCAGTCACACCAAGAAATCAGCCTGCACAAGCTCTGACTGGGGTCTAAACCACTGCTGCATCCAGCATTGCAAGAAGGTTCAGAGGTGGGCTGGGAGCTGGATGTGCGTGGCTGTCAGGAGTGACACACCACCAGGTCCCTTTGTGTGCTGGGCGGGACTTCCCCCACCCTGGCCTTGATGAGCAGTTCTGCACAAGGGCCCTGACATCATTTCTAGTCCTACGGGCCCTGCTGTCTCTCTTCTCCAAAGTCAGAGGCCTCACTCCAGAAGCCCCAGCCTTCTTGTGGTTCTGTCAGGATGGCTGTCACCTGGTGCACTGCTGAGCACCCTCTGACCTCCCCAACCTCAATCAGCCTGAGCCCCCTGCTGGAGCTCCAGTCCATCTGTTACCCTCCCAAGAGCTCAGGCCTTGCTGCCTCCCACAGGCAGTCCACACGGCTGCTGTTCACAACCCTCCACCCGGCAGGAGAGAGATTCAAACTGACATAATCCAACACTCCCTGTCTCCACATCAAAATCAACAAAACCACTGGGTGCTGGCCCAGATGTGCCGGGACATAGCACAGTCAGACAGCAGACTTGCTCTCAAAGAGCAGTGAAAATGTTTAATGATAATGGAGCCATTACTCTGTGCTGGGTGCTGGCTCTACTCTTGGCAGGCAGGACCCCTCCACCCTCACCCACCTCCAGGAGCCCATGCTATCGCAGAGCTGAGGCTGGCACTGTGCTGTGTGCCTGTGCTCTAGCGCTGGACCCTCTCTCTTCTCCTGTGCAGGGTGTGGAAACAGACTTCCACCTTCCCAGCCCTGGGGTTCCTGAGCCAGCAACGAGGGGGAGTCACCTCGGAGCTCCTTTGCTAGGTCCCTTTCATTAAACATAAATGGAGATGGTTCCCAAGCTTGTAATTATTCAATCAGGTGTTTTGTACAAATAAGATCTTGGTGATGCACCAAATTAG